GTAAACTATAACTAAAATATAATACAATCCACACTTCAATCTCAAAAAATGTAAGTTATTAAAAAATAATTGAATATAAATAAATTGATTGATTACTAAAAATATTATTTTATTACAGAATTATACCGAAATCTCAAAACCCATCAAATATGCAAATCATTCATATAATAGCCATAATCGCAGGACTTATAGTCCTCACGAGCTGTGCCGATGGTATGGAAATAAAAGATAATTAAAACTAATTGTTTGGTTAATCACTAATCACTTGATTATATAGACCAGTGCTCGACGTTTAAGGACTGCAAGAGTTGTATAGAAATGAAGACCTGTTCCTTCTGGTACTGCGGCTCTCAAGACAAACGTATGAATAATTATCAAATTGACCATGATATCGTAGCCTGTTACTAACCAGTTGTGTCCCTATACCTCACACATTTATTTGTAGTTCCCTGATCAATTTTGGCAAATGAATTATTTTTGTATTTTGAATTTATAAATTTTATTTGTTACATATAGTTGAAAACGGAACGGCATGTAAATCAGATCACTATAAGGCACCCGAAGACCCCTGTCCTCAACCATTCAAATGGCTTAAAATACAGCATAAAGGCATATGTAAGTGAACTTGCTAGTCGCAATAATTTTCACATCACTTTGACTGATTGTATGCATGAATGTTAAAATTTGATAAATATAATGAAAGTGATAATTATAAAATTGATTTATTACCAAATAGGTCCTCAGGTACCCACCACCACAACTACAAGTACCACAACTACCACCACCACTACTACCACTAGTACAACTACACCATCTACTACCACCAATAAAACTACACCATCTACTACCACTAATGGCACCATAACTACATCGACCACAAAAGCACCGGACACAACCACCAGCAGCACTAAATCACCGGATACTACCACCGCTAACGGCACCACAACTAGCAAAGCACCGGACACACCCTCCACTTCTCCTGCCACTCCGATACCTACTTCAAGTACTCATTAATTTAATCCTTAACTAGTTTTAAATATAATGTATTAATTGAAATGAATTTGTCAGACAAACCGCAACCACAGCCCCAACCGGTGCCGCACACGGACTCCGACAAGAAGCT